ATCGAAAGAAACAATACCTTCTGATCAATGAAAGATCCTTTGAATATTGAGTGAGACTATTTCTTATTAATTAATATAATAAATATAATAAACCTCGTTTCGAATAGAAGAGGGGAGCTATCCTCAAAGAAGAGAGTTGGAGGTTCCTTAAAATAGGTTGGTTTGGTTCCATTCAGAATGGGTTTTGTTGGTTATTTCTAGTTGGTCATGCAAATGTCGCAGGGGGGTATGGCAACACGAGTGCCAGGGAGTAAAAGAGCAGCGAAAGTAGTACTACAATAGACGTAATGGCTGTACCAGCTTAATTGATAGTAATCTTTTATTGCATGATCCCGTTCCTCTTGGGAAGTCTCAAAGAATTGTATATTGAATATTCACCTTTATCGGAGGCAGCATAGCGCCAGTGGTAACGTGTGAGTTTAGCCTTTTCACAGATGTCGGTCCTGGAACATACTTCAATCTCGTTTTGATATAAAGTCTTTTCTGTATCTTTTTAAAAACATCTCTCGAGTCTTCGGATGAATCAGAAGGTTGAGTCAATGGAAGGGTCAAGATAAGAAACTCCAGCAATCCTTGGCATAAAGATTTGTTAGAGCTCTATCTCTTCCCTACATGGGGCCAGTTGACTCAAGTGGAGCGACCACCCCTCTAATTAATGAAGAGTAAGCATCAAATTATGCAGGAAATGAAGAAAGACTAGATATAGGATTCCACCTCTTTATAGGATATTATAATTATATTGTACAGATGCTTACAGGCTTATTGGATTGGATCAAATTCATTAAGTTACACGGAATATGGCAGCCGTAGATAAGCAAGCTGGGGTTGACCACATCTATCAAAGTAAAGAAGACAGTCAATCCCAATTGATATGAACGAAGTATTTGATACTTCGACAAGACGAAGGATCTAGTAGCTGATTAATCTATGTGAGTAGGTCTCGATACGTTATTTTCAGGTAAACCCATCGTTTTAGGAGGACTCTCAATGGAAAATGGGCCGCTTCCCGCTAGAAAGAAAACTCGTTCTCGTGCCGCTCTTCTCATCTATACCATCATCTCTCCTCACCTCAAACTCGGATGTCTTCGAAAGTGCACTGAACATTGCCTCTACCCCAAAGAAGATAGTGACCTGACCTTCCAGTAAGCTCTCGTTCGCTAGTATATCGGTCCCCTACTATCTATCTATTAAGGGTGTCACCCAGAAAAGCTTTTATTGGGGTCAGAGTCCACTCTATCATAGGCCTTAGCCATATCAAATGTACTCGGACTTGTTTAGTCATAAGTTAGTATAATAGGCCGTTGTGGGAAGAGGTGTTGAGACGTTTTCTTTTTCCTAAACAAAGATCGATGCTCCTGCAATCACAAGCAAGTCACTCTCTCGGCAAAACAGAAAGCCAAAGCTTACATTGACTTAATAAATACAAACTAAAACATAGCTAGCATCGCTTGGCTCTAACTGAGTGGAAATACGAGGAAGCAGGCAAGCAAGTAGCCTTGTCCTAGAAAACTACGTCGAGGGAAAAGAAAGATTAAGAGAAAATGAAAGTTAAGAGATAGATAGGCAACTGGAATTACGCACATACCTTTACTACAACAAGCTCTATAATTCTAAATCCCTTTCTCCTTGGATGAACTGCATTGCTCATATTGACCCCAAGAAGGGTGTAGGTACAGCTAGTCTCCCCACCGAAAAATGTGCCACTAATCTATTACCTTAGTAAGAAAGAACAAAGAAAGGAATAGAAACACATGCGCTTTGACTTTCAAGAAGAAAGACAGAACTAATCTTTCTTGTAGTGCTAAGAGTCTTGAGTAGATAGGTGCTTTACTCTATGACAACCCCAATCAAATGAACCCAGTAAGTAATAGAAGTTAGTCATCAATAAAAGTCTTGTATTGAGGTATAAATTGTAAGAGAAAAGATGACGGAATGAACCTGGGTAAGACAAGGCCAAGATGTGAATAAGAGATGAGCCAATTAACAAGCTCATTATGAAGAAAGCTCTACATCGGAAATGATAATAATGTTAAGATGGATGAGTGGAGTGACTAGGAGAGAGAAGGGCTCTCATTAGTGCCCTTACTTTAGATAAATGGAATTAAACATATAAAGTAGTATATCCAGAGCCATACAGAATAGTCAAAAGGAAAGGGTCTACCCTTTTTTAGAACTTTCATACTATGCAATTAGCTACTTTTGCTATTGTGGAGGATAGAAACTGACTAAAAATGTGATCATGATACGCTGTAGGTGGAAGTCAGAGCAAATTCTGCCCCTAAGCCATTGATCGCATAATACATCAAGAGCTAAACTTGATGCAAGACTAAAGAAGGTACTAAACTTAATTAACATGCCTAAATGGGAGGGCTAGCCTTATGAAATTCCTCAATTGATGCCCTCTGCTCAGTAGCCCCAGCTACTCGCTCCTCTGTATCTACTCCAACCTCGTCAACTGTGCCATCCTTGTCGCATCTTCCTCCACTGTAGCTTCATCACCCATTTGTTCTTCAACTCCTCCTGCATCCATAGCATTGATCTGCTCACCTTTGAGCAGGGGGAATGTCCAGATAGAGTAGCTCAACATCTTCATCTTCATGGGGCAACAAGGAGAGGCGTTGTTCCTGCAGTCCAAGTATCCCAACTTGTACGCATTAGCAGAAATCTCATCCTTGGACGCCTCTGTGGCTTCAATGTGAGTGTCAAACTAGACTAGTAGCATGTCACAGTTTTGGGCCAGAACAGCATACTTATATTCGAGGTGAAAGAAGGCCTCCTTGCGTTCGAGCAAGGTAGCAACAAGCGACTTGAGCTCACCATTTTCTTGGCCTATTGAACTCTTCAGTGCAGACATTCTCTTTTTCATCTCAAACTTCCTGAGATCATGGAAAATCTGCTTGTTCAAGAGCTTATCGATCATATCAGCATTCTTCTTTATTAGCTCATCGAGCATAGTAGAAGATGGGGCAACAACACATGGGTTATGCATGGCCCCAATAGCAAAAACCATCCCCTTTTAAAGATGATACATGAGAGCTTCTTCTTGCTTATCCAGGGACAGTCCCGAGAATGTGTCAAGGTCGCAAGCGTGATATATATGGTCAAACAGCTTAGCACAAGCATACGAACTTGACACAAAATTCGTCTTGAGTAGGTCAAACATGCGCTCATCCTCAGCAGAGTTATAACCAACTCCAGGACCAACAGTTCATGCAACTGAAGGACTTGTTGCTAATGCCGACAATTTTCTAGCCCTCTTGACCGCAACTTGCAATATTGAATCAGCTCCGCGCTTGACTGTTTGTGGCTTGGAAGACGAGTTATGATTAATGGGCAATGGTACAGTCTTCTCAGTTTGATCAACGGATTGGAGCAGACTACTCGAACCCTGCTTCTCAATAACCTCCTTATAGGCAGATCACAGGTTTTGAGCAGTTTGGGTGGAGACTTGAGCAAAATATCCCTATCTTCCTGCATGCCATTGACCTTCTTGATGTTCGCGCCAACGAGGCACTTGATTCGGCAGGAACAATTCCCATGGAAACCTTCTCGGCAAATAGGACCCCTCTCAAAGAAGACTTGTTCGTGGCAGAATGAGATCTCGGTTTATTTGTCTGTGGAGACGCATTCCTTGATTGTGACATTGTAGCTTCATCTCTCATGGATCTACTGCTAGCCTTCCTCTTCTTAGGGAGCTCGGTTGAGGACTCTTCCCACTCAATAGGCAAATCATCCGGGTCTGGGCCATATAGTTTCCATCTTTCAACATCTTCAGCATGGGGCAAAACCAATGCCCCTCACGGAACCTAGCAGGGATGTTCAGAGCTTGATGAACCTTGGTCATCTGAGTCACATTCAAAGAATTCAAATGAAGCTTTAGCAGATCAATAGAGTACAACTTACCATTGCAATAGGTGAGCGGGATGAGCGAACCATCTCCGGCCTCACCTTTCCACTTGCCGCTCACCTCCAACACGTCAGTATGCCACACATGGTCCCCTTAATTGAAACTATCGAACAACTTGGCATTGAACATGTGAAACCAGAGCATACTTCTCATAGTAACTCACCTCGAAGAAGTAGAAGAATTCTGCAATGTCATATGAACTTGAAAAAGTGGCTCAGATTTTCAAAGCAGATGATCGTTTGGTAAATATTCGGAGTACAATGGCTCAGAGCACACTCCATGGTGCAGAACACCTTTTTGAGGAACTTCGACAATGAAAATGTGAAGCCCAATGAGAACTAGAGGGGATGAAACGTGATACTTAGGGCTCTAGAATTGTTTGGATCTACGCAAGGCACATCGATGAACAAGGGCTTCACCAACTTGACATGCACGTCCTTCAGAATGGTAGAGTCAAAAGTGGCACGCAATGTTTTGAACTGGGCCTTGGTGGTGACACGGAACTCACAAGTGCCCTTGTACTTGTGGGTGGGTCCAAAGTATACAAGGAGAGGTTTGTGGCAAGTCTACACCATGTCACCACTAGGGCCTAGTTTGAAACATGGCGTGCCACTTTCAACTCTACCATTCCGAAAAACGTGCATATCAAGTTGGCGAAGCCCTTGTACTTTTTATGTGCCTCGCGTGGATCAAACGATTCGAGCACTCTATTTATCATGTTTCGTCCCTTCTACTTCTCACTAGGCTTCATATTTTCGTTGTCGAAGTTTTTCAAGGAGGTGTTCTGCGCCATGGAGTGTGCTCCGAGCCAATGTACTCTGAATGTTTACCGAGCGATCATCTGCTTTGAAAAGGGGGGGGGGTTGGGTCTCATGATTTTTTTTCTCTTTTTCTTCCACTTTTTTTTTTCTAATTTTGTATTTATTTTAACCCTATTTTATTTGTTAATTATGAAAAGTCGTATTTACCCTAAAATTTGGTTAAATCTAACAGAAAATTAGACGGTAGGACCATTGGAGGGATAAATATAGAGTTTATGGACCATTTGAACGAAAAATTTAATTGAGGCCCCAAAATGTAAATCGCGTACAAATTTAGGGACCATTTGAGTAATTTACCCTATAGAAGAAAGACTCGAATTTGAGTGAAGGTGGCTCACTACCCTTACCGACTTGCCTAACCCGCCTATCCTTAAAAGAAAAGTTATTGATAAGTTTGAGTAACATGAAACCAGAAAATTACACAAGTGCTATAGTCAATTAATCAAACAGAACGTGGCACTACTGTTGCTTCCAAGAAGTTACCATCTTAGAAAAACTAGTGAACGAAGACCCACCATTGTTCCAAGCATCCAAAGCCATTGCTTTCATAGCTTGACTTCGTTCTCTAAGAAATTTCTCATCCATCAACAGCGACACCTTCTTCTCCACTTCCTCTGCACTCACAAACCCTTCTTTTGACTCAACTGGTATCCCCAGCTTCATCTCCTCCACCAAAACAACACCATTCACCTCCTGCTCTGCATACAAAGGCCATGCCGCCATTGGCACCCCATAGGTCACTGTTTCAAGCACTGAGTTCCACCCACAATGAGTCACAAACCCACCTACACATCCATGATGCGAAATAGCAGCCTGTGGAGCCCACGACTTCACTACTAGGCCTCTGTTTTTGGTCCTCTCCAAGAACTCTTTGGGTAGCAGAATCTCCGAATCCGGTTCTACTGAGCTCGAACCCGGAGGGCTTCTCATGACCCATAAAAATCTCTATTTGCTTCTCTCCAAACCCATGGCAATCTCGCTTAATTATACTTCGAAGAACATTCCTCTTCTCCCGAAGCACAAGAAGACGACGCTCTGGCTCGACTGCTCATCCAACCACATCAAACACTTGGTTGAAGTTTACCTGTCTTCACATGCACCTCTTTCCCATGTCTCTTTCTCTCTCTCTCTCTCTGTCTCTGCCTCTCTGTCTCTGTCTCTCTCTTCTGTTTCACCATACGGGCTACAGCGTTGAATACCCATATAGATCTTCATGGGCCGGATCCATGTAATGGGCCCTGTATTTTATTAATGTGCCTATTTGTGCCATAAAGGATGATTAGTCATATTTGGCCCACTCTCTTTTCTTTTTCTTCTTTTAACTGGACTGACATACACAAAATTGAATTTAATCTAGGTTGGGTTTCAGGTGGGTGTGGGGTGGAGGGGTGGCTAGCAGGCTGGGGTGGTTAGAATCAAGGGGGAGGGAGGGGAGAAAGGAGCAGGGGGATGGGCTGGGATGGGTGAATTTTCTCCCCTTTTTTTCTAATATTTCTTTTAATTTTTTATTTACAAATTCTGATTTCTCACCAAATTTTACAAAGAAATATTCATGTACTATTTCATAATTCTATTTTTTTTTTAAATGGAATTTCAAGAAGCATTCTTTCTGGGTTTGGGACAAGGTATACGGAGCCAATACAAGTTGCTCTGGAAGAACTCTAAAGACATAAGAAGTAAGAGCGGAAGCATCACGTGATTCAATGTGGGGGTGGGTGTACTAATAAGATTAGGTTTTTTTTTTTTTAATATACATAATTCTTCTTCTTTCACTTTCACTTTCGACAATGATACGTTCTTTACTCTCTCTCTCTCTCTCTCTCTCTCTCTGTTTTTTCCTGAAAGATGCTTTCTTTACTAATTTCTAAATATATTATTAAATTAATAAATGATCGGTTAATTCATATAGAATTAAAAACT